TCTTCAGTTGTGTCCTTATAGTTGGCCAACTAACCAACTTCCTCTGCTCTTGTGTCCTTTTCACCTACCTCATCCTAATACACTTCATACTCTACCAGTCTTCGCCCCTCAGGCATTCCCACTGTCTTCCTTCTCCACTCAATCTCCAAGTTGCTGAATGGTGCTGGGAAGTCACCAACCCGAGCCAGCCAATTCCATTAAACTCACCTGGGTCTTCACTGCTCCACAACAATGCTTTTGTTCTTTCCTGACTCTATCCCACGTCCCTAGTGAGCGTCGGAAACCTTTCCCTCTCTCTTCACATCTCCTACACTGCTGCCTGTCCCGCCCCAGCCCCAGCAGATAGATGACTTTGCCTCCTCCTTGAAGACCCCAGGCTTTCTTGTTTCCTCTAACCCAGACCTCCACTGCTCCCTTCACTCCAGTCTCCCAGAAGAGGGAGCCAACCTCTCTCCTTGCGTCCTTGACCCCATCCCCTCCCGTCTACTCTGCAACCTTTCTTGGCCTATAGCTTCCTCCCTTTCTACCATATTCATCCTTTTCATTTCTGCCCACAAACATACTCACTTCTCCCCTTTCCCTGAAAAATCTTCACTTGACGCTTCCATCTCCTCAGTCTTAAATCTCTCTTCTCTTTCACTGTCCAACTCCAAGAAAAAAAAAAAAAAGATGGCTGCTCTCACTACATCCACTTCATCCCCAACCATTCATTACTTCACCAATTACAGTCAGCCTTCTGACCCCACAACTTGACTCAAGCTGCTCCCAACAGTCTCTTACCTATTAAATAAATAGAGTGACCTCTCTCAGGCCTCATCCCTTTGATCTTTTTTTTGCAATTTTTCACTGTTGACCACTTTCCTCCTCCAGACAGGAATCAATGACATGACTTTCCCTGGTCCTCCTCCTTCCTCTCTGAATTTTTCTTTCAGTCATTTTCTGGTTCATTATCCATCTCCTGGCCATTAAACTTGCCCCCACTATGTACCATCCTTGACCTTCTCTTCTCCATTCACATATATATATGCATATAAATATACATACACACACACACACACACACATACCCCTTCTCCTTTGGTGATCTCATCGGCTGCCCTAGATTCAATGATCACCTCTATGCAGATCTCTACCTTTTCTAACTTCTAAACTTCAGTCACATATCAACTCCTACTAGATGTCTGTACCTGGATGTTCTATCAGTACCTTAACTCAATATGTCAGGTAGAATTTATCTTCCCATCCCCCCTCAATCTAGAGTTCCTCCAAACTTCCAGTTTCTGTGAATGAGACGAATATCTTCCTTGTCACCCAAATTCATGACTTCAGAGTGATCCTTGACACTTCACTTTCCCTCAAATCCTAAGTCATGTTGAAGCTACCTCTAGGACCTCATGTATCTCCAATGTGGTTCCCTCTCTCCACTGACATGATCATCACTCTCAGTCAGTCCCTTGTAACATTTTGCCTGGACTACTGGAATAGCCTCGTGTGCTTTCTCTGCTTCGAGTCAATTCTGTACCAAACTGTTCTCTATACGTTCTCAAATAGTCTTCCAAAGGCAGAGGCCATTTCCCTGCTCTAAACTTTTCAGTCATTGTTGCTTCTAAATAAAAGGCAAAGTTCTTAGCTTGGTATGTAAGTCTCTCCACAATCTGGTTCCAACCTACCTTTCCAGACATTTTATCTTATTCCCCTTGCAGTCATTCTCCATTCCAACCACACCAGACCACTGGCCATCCTCCACACTTGACATTCTGTCTCATACTCATAAAAACCTTCTGTAATGTACTCACTCACCATCTAGGTTTCTCGTAATCCTTATTTTCCTTCAAGGCTCATCCCAGGCCCATTTCTCCCACAAAAAAGTCATCCCTGATCCCTCCAATCATCAATACTTTCTCCCTTCTTTGCTTACTTTGTTTTCACTTGTTGGTGCATATGCTATATTCTGACAGAAGAATGTAAGCTTCCCGAAGGCAAGAACTTTTCCTTTTTGCCTTTGTATGCCCAGAGTCTAGCACAATGTGTGTCACATAAAAGTGTCTAATAAGTGATGGTTGAGTAGAATGGAAAGATCATCCTCTTCTCCCTTTCTCTCCTCTCAATTTCCACCTTGACTTCCTGGCAGTGGTGACTATCATTACTACCACAGATTTCCCACTCTCTGACAGAGTTTGGGATAAAGTTTGTTAAATCCATCCATTTGTTCTGCAGTTAACAGTGAGAAGGGTGGGATAGGACTTACCAACCCTCAGGAGGTCAAGCCAAGAGGCCTTGAGTGTAAGGAGAAGATTCTAAGGAATAAGATCTTTGAAGTGAATCCTCTACCTCAAGTGAACCGAAAGAAAAATTGGTTCACGAGAAAACTGTTCTCTCAGAAGGTGTAAAAAGAGAAGAGGGAATAATTAGAGGAGCCCTAGGCCCAACCTAGCCCTGTGAAAGGAGGGAATGAAGGAAGGTCCAGAGGGTGGTAGAGAAAGACTGAGATGAGACATTCAGATCTTTCTACAGAAAGAACCACAAAGGCAGGAGAAGGCACTTACCAGGATTAGCCAGTTATGCCCTCACACAAGAGGACATAGGCGAAGGGTGGAATCAGTCCCTAGCTTCTCCACAAATGGAAAGGGGAAGAACAGACCTTAAAAAAGGAACACTGCCACCACCTTCCACAAGGCAGAACAGCTGAGCTGTCCAACATCAGCTGTGGGCAAAGGACTGGAGGCTTGCACTTGTCTCTTCTCCAACAGAGATTTTTTCTAGATTATACACAAAAGCAGGAAGTAGAACTTTGGGGCATGGGTATAAGACTCTACTAGAACTTCAGAACTAATTGTCTTAGAAGGAGGGGAAGAATTCTTTCTTCAAGGACATCTTCATGGTGGAATAGTACAGCTCTGAGATGCCAGTGGTTTTCCTTGCCCCCCCATTTGTCATTGGAATCCCTTAGGAAATAAGGCGAGGTGGGCTGTGCTATGAACTTCTTGAGACTTCAGCACAGGAAACAAAAAAAGGCTTGGGTGGTATGATTGCACATGTTCAGCAATGAGCAACAGCTGCATCACTGACAGTACCTTCTGATCCCTTCCCTATCCTCTTGGGTGGACCTACTATGTCCACTGTTACAGGACCCTTGAGATCATAGATGATGAAGCGCTGACCACCACCACGGTACCACGAAGAACAAAGTAAGAGCATTTGAAAAGACAAGTGCAAATCTGAAATCTTGCCCATTTAGCAAGCTCTACGAACTTCGGAAAGGACTAAGAATATTTCTTATTCTTACCTACCAGGGAAAGAAGTAAATGGAAAATGTAATATTAAGTCAGGTCACTATGAAGAGGGCTATACATTGTCATGCTAATCAGAAGGGCACAAAATTGGTATGGTCATCCCTTCCACATCTCCACTTTCCCCATTTTGGTTTCAATAAATCACGGGTTGGCATAAGAAATTAAAGGGGAATATTTGGAGAGTTTTGCAGAAGCCACAGACAACATGCAAAGGCCAACAGACAACACAGAAAAAGTTTAGAAACTCATAAATGCATAAAAATATGTGAAATATTGTATAATATCAATATATTTGATCTTTTAATGCCATAATTCAGACTTCTCTGGTACAAAGGGAGGGCCAAAAAACTTTTACATGGATTTTCCAGACTGTGGGGTGGGGAGGGTGGCCCTAACTTGCGCCATATGGAAGAGATAACTGTATGTCATGAGCCTAACCTATTCGTTATCCCAGGAGTTTTAGCCAGGAATACCAAGAGGGCTGCATTTTAACAGTTTGACCCATAACATGGTGCCATGGCATACACAAGGGTATAGTAAGGCTTGAGCGTATAATAACGGCAACAACAAAAGCTGACATTTATATAGCATTTTAAGGTGTGCAAAACACTTTACCAATGTTAATTCATTTGATCCTCATAACAACCCTGTGAAGTAGATATTATTATTAGTCCCATTTTATAGAAGAAGAAAACAATTCATATAGTCATGGCTGACTACACAGATCATGAAATGTTATGTGCATCGTCCTGCTAGCTTTTCACATGCTCTTTTGAGGTTTCCTTTCCTAGACAGCTAACTCCTGAGCATTTACAGACTTATTCTACCAGTGTATAGACCATTCATCTAGCACACACTTAGTCAGCACTTATGGCACTAGGTACTGTGTTTAGGGGAATAGAGAAAGATTGGATCTGTGATTTAATGGGCATGAGGAACTCACAGGTGAAAAGCTCTCTCTACCAATTCACATTGGCAACTTCCCTGCAATTTATAGTCTTAGAAAGTTGCCTAGAGCAGTGAAATGTTAAGTGACTTGTCCAGGGTCACACAGAGGCAAAACCTGAACCCATAATTTTCTATCTATTCCACCATTCTGCCTCTGAATCCTGGGGGAATACAAACTACAAACTGTGATCCCAGCTGCTGTTGAAGAGATATGACATGAACAGATATGACTATGGTATAAAACAAAATGTAAATGATTTTTTTTTCCTGTGGCTCAATATGTAACATCATCTCTATGGATGCAAAAAAAATTTAAGGCCTTGAGGTCTTTTTTTTCCTTGTCATTAAATTCTGTACAAAGTTAGGGGAGGGTTGAGACCCATAACTAATGAGATTTGTGAGGTCATCTGATTTTATTACCCATTCCACCCCTTATTTCTCCTTACATCTGAAGAGGCAGGGGAGCCCAGGGAAAAACACCCTGAATTTGAGTTCAAATCTGGTCCCTGTCACTTACTACTTGTGGGATCATGAGCAAGTCACTGCATTTCTCTAGGCCTCAGTTTCTCCATCTGTAAAATAAAGGTTTGAACAAGAGGACCTCTAAGGTCCCCTCCAACCCTCAATCTGTGCTCCTATGCTGTTAGGACCATTTGATGTCACACCATACCTCCTCTCAAACAAGTAATGTGGATTCCTATTGTATCCATCAGAAAGCAAATTAAAGCAATCAGTTTTTTTTTTTAAATCTTCATTTCAGTGACAAAATGTTTCCAGCTTTTGGTTTTGGAGCCAGGATACCTCCAGAGTACACGGTGAGTGGGTGGGGATTGGGGGGAGGAGAGATCATTTTTTTGTACTGCTTGAGATCCTCTCAAGAGCATTATTAGCCTCCATTAAGGTTTAACTTACACTGTACCTGAACAGCACTTGGCATAGTGCCTGACACATAGTAGGTGACACATGTTATTCCCTTATTCCCTTCCCTTCTGTGGATAAAAGAACTGAACCACATGGAAACAGTGAGGTTAGATCATCACAGACTGAAACCCACGGTCTATGATCTACCATAGCGCAATCAGTCAAGTATAAGGCTGGGTGGCTCCTGAAAATAGACCAGAGGAATTGTCCCAGTGTCCGGCCTCTTGAGGATGTGACCCTTGCATTGGAGAAATATTCAGCAAGTCTATTTCTTGCAACTTGAAGTACTTTAGCATTGGCAAAATATTTATTAAATGTGCTTCCAGCAGATCCACTCCTCAAGGTTTAAAATCTGGTTTGTGAAGGAATCAGTAGCAATGAGCCACAACAACTAGGCATTATGATGCCTAGAGACAGAGATGGTATAAAACATTCGGATGCTGTAACATGGAAGGATCCATGCAGAGCCATGGGAACAGGCATTCCCCGTAGAGCCTTAGCCTGGGATATGCCTTAAGGTCAAGGTTAAGTAAAAGTAGTTTCCCCAAAACAGAAGATTTCTTGTAGAGACTATGTAAAAGAACAGAAGCCCAAGTATTGCCCTCAGCCCAGTCTCTCTTGTTCCTACTTTCCATTGTTGTTGGCAAAAGCCGCCCTGGCTGCGTGCTTTTACTTCTGGCTGTTTTCCACCTCACACCTCCAACTTGAAAACCTATGTCAGACTAGCCCCCCAGCAGAGTCGAGATCCCAAAACCAGCACGAGCCATTTTGTTACTTTGAGTAAACAGCACAGACCGTATCCTCCCATGAACTTTACTAGTGATATGAAAAGAACACAAGAAATAATTCAGACAAATTCAGGAGCAGGAGGGAAATTAGTTGCCATAAGCTCACAGATGAGCATTATTAATGATGTCCATCTGGCATCTTCCTAGTTTCATTAATTATTCTTGCTAAAGTAGATGCTAACATTGGCTGTTTCTATTGCTGCTGTAAGAATGGCTGTGTTAAACTTCAGCACCATTTAAAATGGAGGACCCTCGGGCAGACCCCATATGCACCATCCTTGTTACTGCTCTGGTCCCTAGTCCTCTGACTTGTCTCCTCTTCTTGATTTGGGTCCCAAGGTGCTTTGAACCCCTCTTTTCCATCCTGTCTTCAACTTCACTCACAAGGGAGCAGCCAGGGCAAAGGGGATCAGGTGTGGTGATGGGGCTTTTACCCCAGTGATTTATTTACCGGCTTGGGGGCAACCTCCAGAATGCAGCATGTGCTGCAATGATCAGATCCTTAAATTTGTGAAAATAATTTTCACAAGTCACAATTTTGGACCCATTAGAGTTTTAAACATTCCATCTAGTACCTGGGGCTCCTATTCTCCTTTCCTCAGTCCAGACTGCTTGGCAGCCTCTGAACTCTACAGACAAAGGGAGTTTCTCTCCTAATCCAATTAGCTACTAGCTCTCAGGGATCCTAAATTTAGAAATGGAAAAGACCTTAGAGGTCATCACATCCAACCCCCTCATTATGCAGATGAGGAAACTGAGGCCCAGAGAGATTAAGCCCCATGCGAGTTACATGACAAGCATGTGTCTGAGGTGGAACTCAAACCCAGGTGCTGCTGACTCCAATTTCAGTGTTCTATCCACTCCACGATACAATTTTTTCTCTAACAAGGGGGAATTGGAAAGGTGTCTGGCTGTGAGATTCCCCTTTCTTTAATTAGTGATCCTCTCTTACTGTCAGGGTCTATCTATCCCAAGATTCTCAAGATCGGGAAGACAATTTTCTTTTCTCTTAGATGTCCAGCTATAGTAAGTTCCAGACACTAGAGCTTCTGCTACCCCTTGTGTCTCAGGGGTTTTCAGAAAGAAAAGAGTAAATACCATACGTCAACCATGAACAGTAAAAAAAAAAAAAAAAATCTGTATGGAAAGATAGGCTAGAGGTAAGTTGCTGCTTTGCTGCTTTTCAAAAATTCGATCACGGTCAATTTCACCTCTATTTACGTGGCCATTTCCTACTTATTCTTCCTATTTCCTTTGCTTTAAATTTATGCTAAAATACCCACACCTCAAACCTGAGCTCCTCTGTTTATTATCATGAGTGGAAGGCTCGATTAGGTTATAGAACTGTTATTTTTTTAAAATATTCATCACCCAGGTCATAGACCCCACCAGAATCTAGGCCACCAATCTGTGTCCAGCATTCCCAGGCTACTTAGACATGTATTTCTCTCACCCAGTTCTTTCTGTTTTTCTTAGGCATCTTTCCTCTCCCCTACCCCCCCTCCCTACCAAACGTTATTCAACAAATATCCCTGTCACTTCTACTCCCCAGGGAGCTGAGAATTTAGCTTCCTTCTCAGATTGATTGGAGAAAGGCTTAAGACGATTCCTGCTGTTAAACCCATAATGAATGTAAGGGACATTTGTTTGCAAACTTTAAACCCCAGGGCCTCCTTACTGGATTAAAGTTGTAATTCTTTTCTCTTCCTTTTTTTTTCTTTCATTTTTTTTAATTGGTGTGTAGGTCTCTCATGACTTTGCAATCAATTTTAATGAAGACAATCCGGAATGTGCAGGTAAAATCACAGTTTAAAATATAAACCAATCTTACAGCCCTTTCCATGAGTGCAATATAATACAATGGAAAGAACTCAGGATTTGGAGTCTGAGGACGTGGGTTTGAATCCTTGCTCTGTTACTTATCCGTATGACCTTAGGCAAGTCCCTTCATTTTCCTGGGCCTTAGCTTCCTCATTTGCAAAATGGAGGGTTGAAGAAGCCAGAGGTAGATTTGATCACCTACAAGGTCCTTTTCATTTCCAATTCTATGAGCCACTCTTCTCACACACAACACCATGATGTGATAATCATTCCAGGATCCTTCTGTACCAAAGTCAGCCTTGGGATTCCCAAGGTGGTACTTTCTCTAAGAGTTATTTGTCAATTACCAGTCAACGGTAGTCCATAGGAGTGTGAGGACGCAGGAATAGGGAGGTAAAGGAGCTTGAAAGAATGACTTAAGATCATAAGATTGAAAATCAGGAGATAGAACCTTAGAGACATTATAGTCCAACCCTCTCATTTTTGCAGATGAGGAAACTGAGGCCCAGAGAAGCAATTAGCCATTGAAGGCAAGAACCATTTTTTTAAAAATTATTTTGTCTGACACCTGCCTTCTATATTGTCTGTTGTTCAGTCACGTCCAACTCTTCGTGACGCTGTGGACCATACTGTCTATGGGATTTTCTTGGCAAAGATACTGTAATGGTTTTGCCATTTCCTTCTCCAGTGGATTAAGGCAAACAAACTTACCCAGGGTCCCACAGTTAGTGTCTGAGGCCAGAACTGACCTCAGATCTTCCCGACTCCAGGCCTAGAGCTCTATGCACTGCACCACCTAGCCACCTCCTGCCTTGGACATAAGAGGTGTTTATTAAAATCTTGCTGACTTATATTGGATTTGCCCACAGTTACAGAGACAATAAATAACAGAGCCCAGCTCCATTGCTTTTGGAACCAGCAATATGCACGCCAGTGCTGCGTGGTGCTGTGCAAAGAATACTAGAATTGCAGTCTAGGGAGTTACCTACTGTCACTGGTCCTCATTTTCCTCATCTGTAAGGGAGGGGGTTGAACTGGACATCCTCTAAAATGATTTCCAACTCTCATTCTGTGATCCTGTGCTTCTATAGTCCTATGGTCCGCCTTATGACTCCCTCGTGCTTTGAGAATTTAGCTAAAATGTGCACACGCAGTACACTCCAGGCCACTCCAAAGACTGTACTAGAGCAAGGCAATGCTCACTCCTCGGGAGACAAGGCTCTTTGTCAGTCCTTTGGGTCCCTTTAAAACATATCCAACAGTCAGTCACACACATGGATTATATGTTAAGTTTATGTTTGTCCTGTGAGCAGATATGATTATGATGGGAGATGAAGTACACAAGTAGTGAGCCCTTCACCCTTTCAGGAAGAACTATTTCCCAGACGCCCCCCCCC